GAAAAGAGTGTGTTGTATGTAAATAAGTATCTGAAATACATGTTGGAGGCAAAAGTAGTTGGAGAACCTAAAATGCTCCCATATTTTTAAGTGGACAGCAATGTAATAATTTAAGTATGACTGACAAAGTATCCAAATCCTAAACTACATCTTAAAAAAAAAAAAAAGAGTCAATCACTCATTAAAAGTAAGCAAGCATCCCTGCCTGCATAAGCATCAACTAAGTGGATTATACAAGATTTTTAGCTCCCAGTTGTGATCATGACTTTAAAATGTTTAAGGCTCCTTATAAATGCACATTTTTAATGCAAGAAAGAGTCAGAATAGTGTCTTGTGTACCCTGCAGTTTAAGTATGCTCTTAACAAACTTTACAATATAATGCACTGGAAAAAGACACTCTGCTCTGCTATTAAGGAGTTTCACAGCACAAATTTGAAGGGGCTCCTTTAGGGTTATGAAACAGCATTTAACTCCCATATTAAAAAAGTTAGGTCAGGAGGCAGTTGAAGTTCCTGAACACCAGATAGTTCACTGAATTCAACTGCAGCTGTAGGAATAACTCAAGGCAGGCATTGACATGACTATATTTGAGATTGCTTAACTCTGGTTTCAGACTGTTGTTATGCAAGCATTTCATAACTTTACTGAAAGACCAAAGGACAGTGCACATACTAACTCCAGAGACAGTCTGACAGCTAATGCAAATCCAGCATGTACCATGGCCTGCTCTTACAGTTCAAGTGAGTGAATTCATTACGAGTGGACACACACACCCTGCATTAAAAGAGAAAGAAGGGCAAGACCCTCTAGATTGTTTCTTATATAGCACTCTTCAGTAATGAAGTATCACCTCAGAATCCAAGCAGATCTGATACTTCAACTGTTGATCCCTTAGTGTACTTTACAGAATACCAGTTACAAATACTCAAGATTCTTAGTAAAGAAATTCTGGCTCTATTTTCTTGAAAATTTCTCCTCTTTCAGCGTTCGAAGTTTGCCTCAGAACAACATTCTAGCTATGTCTCAGACAGGGCTGCTAAAAGATAGCTTAAATATTTTTGCAAAAAAAAAAATAAAAAGAAAAAAAAATCGTAGTTGCATGCCCGTAACATTTAACACAGTTTTAAAACAATGCTATATACTTCTGCTCAAGGATATTAGAAAAAGCAGCAACAAAAATCAGGCAGTTTCAAAAGTTATTCCCTAGGGCTGTTCATAAACTGACAAGACTGTTAACTTGGATTCAAAGATGCTATCATTATGTTGTTGCTACCTTACCCATCCATTAAGTTTAGCAATAGGAAAAGCAAGCACAACGCCAGCGAGGAAGCATAGATGTACAGGTATTAAGCGCCAAGCCAGAAACATCCTTGGCTCCTCTGAGGAAGAGCAGTTTGTAAAAGGAAGCATTCAAGGGATAGTTACCCAGAAGTGTGCGTGACAGTTGACCATCATGGTCCGCTCAATAAGCTCATCAGGACATTCGAGGAGGTGATGCCCCGATACCACCCCAGCATTATTAACCAGGACAGAAACCTCGCCGACTTCCTTGCGCACCCGCTCCGCTGTAGAGTACACATCTTCCCTTTTGCTCACATCACAAGTGTAGATGTAAACCTGCAAATTGCAAGGGGGCACAACTTCCTTTTCTCCATCTCCAGCAGCTGCAGGACCCACACAAGAGAAGAGAGAAAGGTTACCTTCTGGGCCAGAGGGGC